GATAGCTTACCAATTACTTCCCTCCTTACAGTCAGGATTTCGAAAAGGGGATAGCTGCACGTCAGCAGTATTAAATATAACGGACGACATTCTTCGGAGGAGTGATATGAGTAAAACGACTGCGCTTATTTTGTTGGCTTACTCAAAAGCTTTCGACAAAATCAATCATGAAGTTCTATTGTCAATACTGCATTATTTGGAGTTTTCAAGTGCTGCAGTGTCTTTTATGCGTAGTTACTGTACTGACCGCTTTCAGTTTGTGGCAACATCTAAAGGACAGTCAAGTAATGTTACTATTTCGTGTGGAGTACCCCATTCGAGTAGTTTGCAAAATTCATTCCTATGCTGATGATACCCAAATATATTTTTCATTTTTTCCGGAAAATTTCCAGCAGACTACGGAGGTTATAGACAAGGATATCAAGCGCGTTGAAGAGTTTTCAAACTCGTGGTTTGGTCAAACTAAAATGGTAATTAGACCTTACTTTCGAATACGTAAAGATAAACATTTAATTTTGCGCGAAATTTGGGACTAAACTTTGATGGTGATTTGCATTTCAAGCCCCATGTAAATAAGTTCATTCAAAAGGCCTATATGATTTTAAAAAACCTTTATCCCAGTCGCCACCTTTTAAAAACTAACCTTAAAATTAAGTTGATTGATTCGCTGGTACTGCCTCATTTTAATTATGCAGATGCGAGGAAAAAATAACCATATATTTTTATTATCACTATGATTTTATTTTATTATTATTATTCTTTAACTCTGGTTACAATTTATTATTATTATCGTTATTATTAATGACTATATTTGTATTCAATATACTTTAAAAATTTAAATATGTGTTCACGGTTTCCTTTTTTTTTGTTTTTCTCTAAATATGAAATTTACGTGTTATCTCCTTTTAAAAAATTAAAACAATTATTTGAGATGATCTTTTAATCCTGTTTCATTAGAAATTTACCGTTCTTCGTTTGTTAAACTGATTTTTTTGGGATCAATAAATGTCCACTATTATTATTATATGCATCATTAAAAATGTAATCTAATTTAATAAGAAGACGCAGCACAGCATACCTGCTAAGGTGTTCTAAAAATACTGTTTTGATCTAGGGACTGTCAAATTTAAAATAATTATTCGAATTTCTCCTCTAATTACCGGGTCCCATATTAAACTGACCCCCCAGAAAACATAACATCGCCGACAAAATAACCCCCACACACACACCCTCACGCACAAGGCTAGCGTTGGAAATCACCCTCAACCTCGACGACCTGACCGGCAGATCGTATCCTGTTTTACCGGTAGAGAGTCATAAAAAATCAGCCGAGTTGAATCAATCGTTGTCAATTATCGTGTCAAGTGAAGTCAAAAGCGGCACATGGCGGATACGGTCATTCCGTTTCCGGTCGCAATCCCAACGAAAATCAAAATATAATCAGGAATAATTTCGATCGCGTGGGGTGTGGAGGGGGGACACGGTGTCACGTGACGTCCGCACGCCACGTCACGAGTCAAGAAATCACCAGGTGTGTCGAAGACGAGTAATTATATCTGAAGAAAAAGTGACTTCGACCGGAAAACCCTAAGCGCCCCACAACAGGATCATTATTTTTTAAGGAGGTGTTTATAGAGTGCTTGTATGTGTGTGTAGAGATTAATGTTTGGTTTACTGTTAACCCTAAGATTCAGATTTTGTTAGTATGTTCAAAAAGTACTTAGTAAACACTCCACAGAATGGATGTTATAGTATATAGTAAAAATGTCCTCAATTTTTATAATGTTCTGTACTGAATTTTTTCAGCTCTCAGTTGGTTGGCTGTTATTAATGAATTTGTTTCCAACTGTTTATTTTGATGTACTTAAATCCCATTTTACAAACAACCCTGTGAGTGGTGGCACGGCTTATCTTTATATGGGTTTCGTCTTTTATTTTCTTTTTCAGTTTATCCAAGGTAGGAACAACTTCGCTTTGCTAAAGACAATACATTTTCCTGCTTATTAGATCCTAAGCGCTATTGTTTATACGGTGAGTTTGAAATTCACTACGTTTATTCCTCTTCCTCAATTCTCCACTATTAATAATATCCTTATCTACGACATGAGCGTTTTTGTAAGTAGACAGGCTTCTTGTTTAATAAGTCCTCTACTGATTAAAGTTTCATACATATTTTTCACAACCGGTTTTGCATCAAGCGAAAAATGATTTCGACTCGACAATACCCAAGAAATATATCAGAAAAAAAAGAAATGTATCTAGCCCACCCCTTCCTTGTCACTGCTGCAAGAATAAATTTGTTGTTAATGGCTTTAGTCAATAACGATAGGTAATAACATCAATAAAGTTTTATTGGAGAGGGTCCCTCGAAAGCCAACACAATGAAAATTGAGGACTATACTATCATCCCATCCGACCATTTTCACTATCTAAAAAAACTATGTCTATATCATTGGTATTATTCTTTGATACATCATAGGTACATCATTTTCGGTAGATTTTGTTTATGTTATGTTATGTTTATATATTTATATAATATATATTTTTATATATACGGTTCCGATGTTACAATTATCTACAGGATATAAAGCTGAAAATATTTAAAGATTTGCACGCCTTTATGTTGTTTGGCAAATTATTAAAATGAATTAAATTAATGTTTATCAAACGTAACAGAAATTTAGATTTGCAAATATTTGTGAGGAGGTTAGAGCTACTTCTAGTATTTAAACTATGTATATTACAATTTTTTTAAATTAACAAGATTTTTAAAAACAGATTTGATACAGAGACAAAGACGATATATCCATCCCAACATTTTGGGATAGGCGACCAAAGGCAAAACGAAAAAAAAAACACAGAAAACATACAAAAGAGTAAGAAAAATATGAATAAAAAATCCACTTTTTTGAGATTAAAATCTTACATAAAGATACATACGGCAGAAGTTTGTTTCTTTTGTTTTTTCTGTTTTTTAAAGTTCCATCCCACCTGGTACACTTCAAAATCTTTTCCTTTGTGTATCTTAAGCCCTTACAAGTTCTACTAACAACTAATTCAGGATTGGACCAGACGTCCAGAAGAAAAGTGAAGATTATTTTATATTATACTTACTTACTGGTTCGCCAAGTCATTCAAAATATGTGACCATTGTTGTAAATGATTGTCCAAAAACAGGGTTGGGTAATAAAATGGGTGCATAGGCCAACCAATCCATAGTATCCAGGAGTACTGACTCAGTTGGTTACTTTTTGAGGTGCCTGTTTTAATTTGAGTTAAACTATTATTTATAAATCTAATATTTTACTGGTATTACATAAATATTTTGCGCACAATCATTCCTTTTTATAATATTAGAATTCATTTTGGTATTTTTACATATGGGACACTCAATCTCGTCCTAGAATCGTGACCGTTGTTGGTTGGCGGCGTCGAAAAGTCAGGTGTTCCAGTTTAACCGTATTACGTACACATCTGTCTCACACCCCTATTTAAAAAATTGTAATTATTCATCGCCGTGCCGCTTGGTTTAAAACAATGCGTCCATATGCCACGGACGGAGAGTGGGATGCTTATCTGGCCAATCGCGATTCGAGGTTTTGATAATGCCTCGGATTTTATTCAACATGCACAAGGGTCTAATCGGTTGGAATAGCCCCGCCTACCCTCCTTTAGCTCCGTCAAGGTGAGAGAGTTATGGTAGGGTAAATTAATAATTAGCAACTAACCATTAATTTATGAATTAATGGCCATTAATTAACAAATTCTGCCAATGGGTTAAAAACACTTTACATACACATCGGCTGCAAGATCTTATGTCAAATTTTTTTGGTAAACATATGGAACAACTAATAGTAGTATTAATCTCAACATAATCCATAAGATTGTCAAAAAAGATAAACGAGATGACACTACACACTAAATACGAACTTGAATCGGGATGTATTTATTATCATTGCCAGTTTTTAGGTGCAATTAGGTGCTTTTCTAACTGCCACTAATTTAAAGTTATTACGAGGAAGACTGCATTGAATTGATATGATACAAACAATCTAAATAAGAAACTGTGTCATATTCATAGCTACTCCTAATTATAGATTAGACGGATATTCTCTGAGTTGGGCCATTGTGTGGTACGACACAAGCATGATATTAAAGAATTTTGCTTAAAAAACAACAACAATGGCTCAATGAAAATTAAAGATGAATTACCCTGGATTACCTTTTTGGTACAACTGATTAACATTTATCTATTTTTAATTTCCCCGACCACAACAGCATTCACCAATAAAACGAGACCTAATTTTGGGAAAAGGACGAAGCAAAGCAAAGCAAAACAAAATAAATCAAAGTTGAAAATTGAGAAGGAAAGGAAATCTTAGAAACTTGAAAAAAACCCGGACACAATTTGTGAATACTATGATATCCTATGCTTAATATTTTACCCTTTATAGTAATATTTTAACCTTGCTCTCCGTATAGAAAATATTTACTTCATTTATTTATATGTTACACCTCTTCTATGAAATCAATATACGTAGTCCCCCTTCTAGTCGCTAGGTGGCACCACAGCTTTAAAGCAGAGCCAAAAAACTGTGGAATAACTTACCATGGACGGTATATTCGCCATCTATGGTCTTAACCTCATTCCTCTTTTTGTGCTTTGGTGGCACATGTTCATTTTTATTCGGCGTCGGTGTTTTCAGCTTTTTTCAGCGTTTTTGGAAGTTAAATGGAGAAGTACAAGTGAGATTTACGTTATTCCTTATCGGATGAAGAAAGAACCTACCTACGACGAAAGATTAAATCTTTCCATCCGCGATTACATAATCGCTAGTGGCGTGGTTCCCATCAACGAGATTTTCTTACAATTGGGAGACGATTTCTTCATCGTCCGGGTTCCGATCGGAATCCCCAGAACTCGAAAGACCCCCCATCTTTCCCACTTATACGACAGCAGTCGTATGTAAGTATTTCACAATTGGAAGCAATCCTTTTGTGAGGGGGTCAGCCATACATATGGTTTTATATTTTTTCGACATCGAAAAAATAGAGTTTTCTGGCTCGTCCGGCTATGGATGAGGCGCCCGGGATACTGGGACATAATGAACAATTTTTTATGGCTGTTGGAATGCATTTACTCCATCGTAAGTATATTTTTTAGGCCCTTCAATTAATTCTGATGTCATTGTTGAGCCCCTTGGGACGGATTTAAAGCAAAATGGCCTTTAAGCTATGGGGTCGATAGTCCCAACACAAAGTTTGATGTGTCATGACATTTTGGCAAGTCAGATTAATACGTTTTTGAAATCCGGTGTGTCCGAAGATTGTCTCAGTGACCTTTTGCGTTGATATCCTGTGCCGAAGAATTGCCGCTCAATAACTCTCCTAAATTGAATGTGCAGATGAAATCTGCCATCAACAAAGGTGGAAAGAAAAGGGATGAGAGACTGACTGCAACAAGGGGTGCTTTGATGGTGGTTGGTAGGACGCTCTTGACCTTGCTTTTGAAACCGGTTAAGGATGAGTAGTACTTACTTCTCATCGAAATGTTGAGTAATGCAATATTTGTTTTAAGCAAAATACACCATTTAGGTTCAGTATATAGAAGTTCAGCCGCGTTAAGCCTTTCGCTGGTCTCAAATGAAATGCAGCCTTGTATGAAGGAAGTGCTCGTTGATGCTTCTTTGCACTCTTGTTTATATGGAGAAGATTTGGCTGATAGGCTCAAATCAATCAGATTAGCTGCAGATTAGTGGCCGAGTTAAAGTCAGGTGCATCCGGAACAAGGCTTTTATAGCATACAAATTTAAACTCGACCGTCCCACTTCGTTCCCGGAAGTTGCAAGGCTGAAGTGGGTGAAAGTCATTGTACCCTCAAAAGAGGGAATACAGGAAGGTTCGAGAGGAAAGGGGGTGGAGTTGTGTCCCCAGGAAAAAATAGTAAGTACTTTTGTTGAAAGATTGCACGAGTTTCGGGACATTTGGAACTCTAGAACTCAAGATGCACAGATTCTACCTTGGTTAGATGGATATAAAATTCCATCTGCGAGGCCAGTTATACAGGACTTGATTACGACAGATCCTGTTTGGTCCCAACAAGAAAAAGATTCAATTTGTAATGTGGTCAAACACCTGTTAGAGATAAGTGCAACTGCAGTTTGCGAACCTTGTAAGAATCAATTTATTTTACAGATCTTTTTGGTTTCAAAATTGGATGGTTCGGTTTGATTAGTTTTAAATTTAAAGAAACTGAATGCTTTTATTGACACTTGTCATTTTAAACTGGAAGACAGAAAATTAGTAGAAACACTCTTCACAAGGAAGTCCTTTATGACCACTCTGGACTTGAAAGAAGCTTACTTTCTAGTCCCAATAATTGAAAATCAAAAGAATTTTCTAAGATTTTATTTTGATGCTCTCTGTTATCAGTTTAACGTGTTACCCTTTGGTTTATGCACCGCCCCGTGGGCCTTTACAGAATTAATGAAATCTGTGGTTTCTTATCTCCCTGCCAAGGCTTTTCCCTCAATAGTTTATTTAGATAACTTTACTATTTGGTGATAGTTAGCTATCCTTAAAAAATGTTCAAGTAACTTGCAACACACTGATTAGGTTGGGTTATGTTATTAATTATAAGAATGTTTTACATCCTTCGAAATCCCGTAAATTTTTAGGTTTTGTTTTTTTGAATCCCACCACTTGTTTTTTCTGATGAGTAAGTAAGTTTTGCAATTTGAACCGTTGCGAAATAAGAGTCTTTGCCGAGCTTTGTGCTGTGCTAGTTTTCAGTTTGCCCAGCAGTTTGTTACAGTTGGGTATATACTAAGAATTTTTGAGAGAATCAAATATCTAGCCCTTCAAGACTCTGTCGATAATTATGATATTTGGATGATAATTCCTTGTAATTTACGGAGGGATTTTATGTGATGGCTAAAAAGTTTACAGAATCCTGAATGCCCTGTAAGGCAGCAATGTTACAAACTTGAGATTTTCTCAGATGGTACTCCTTTGGGTTGGGGAATTGTGCCAGAGAACTTTGGAGTCCTAGGGAAGCTCAGTTTCATATTAATGCACTAGAATTAACTGCGGCCTCATTTGGTCTCTAATGCTTCGCCTCGTATTTGACTAACTGCGAGACACTTTTGAGGATTGATAACACAACTGCTATTTTGTATGTAAATAGAATAGGGTGAGTAAAATTTCCTGTTTTAAACGAAATTTCGAGGCGCCTTGGGGTTGGTGTGAAGAAAGGAGGTTATGGGTTAAAGCATCTTACATTCGATCTTCCGATAATTTTGAAGCGCATAAGGAACCCACGAATTTGAATTTTGATGGTGAATGGTACCTTTCGGACAATGCTTTTGCTAAAATAACAAGCAAATTTGGATTCCCAAAATCGAACTGTTTGCTTCTCGCCTAAGTAAGAAATGCTGAAAGTTTATTTCCTAATTTCCAGATCCGGAGGCATCTAATGAAGACTCGTTTACTGTTTTTTGGAGCGACAGTTTCTTCTATGTTTTCCCCCCGTTTTGCTTGTTGCCACTTGTTTTACGAAAAATCAAGGCTGATTGAGCTACAGGGATCGCAGTAATCCCTTACGGGCACAGCCAGCATTGGTTTGCTTTTTTTTCATGGGAGGCGTTGTAGTTATTTATTGTTTCTAATTCCAGACAAATTACCTTCTTCTTTTGACAGGAGAGGTCACCCTTTGTGGAAATCCCTTACCCTGGCTGCAGGGATTTTGTCAGGCAAGCATTCCAGAAGATTTGCTGGATATTTTTCTATCATCTGTTCAGAGCGCTACCTTGAGGCATTTAATACCTGCATGCATTTAAACTTTGGTGGAGCTTTTACGAAAGGAGGGGAGTGGAGTGTTATTACTTCTCACCTAGGCTGTATTGGATTTCCTTACTATTCATTTTAGACAAGGCAAGTCCTATGGCTCATTGAGTTCTTTCAGTGCAGCACGGCCTTATTTTTGGATCAGGTTTATTTAACAATGCAAATCTAACTAGGTTTTTTAAGGTGTTTATAATCTAAGGCCAAGTAAACCAAGATATAACAGCACTTGGGGCCCTAGTTATGTCCCTGACTTTGTAAAAGGGTTACGTTCTAATGACTTGTCATTAAAGCAATTAACTGTCATTAAAACAATTAAATTAGTTTCTCCTACTGAAGTTAACGATTGTACATAGAGTCCAAACGCTCTCTCTTATAGAATTGGTCAACATAAAATCATTTCCAGATGGATTAGAAATTAGAATAACGAATCAAATTAAGATTTCAGCTATAAATAAGACTCGACCTGTTTTTTAATTTTGCATAAATATGAAGATGTAAATCTTTGTGTGGTTTCAAATATATTATTGAGAGGGCCAGTGCTTTAAGAGGCAGTGAATCTCGTTTACTCATTACATTTAAAAAGCCTTGTAGGGCAGCAACTATACCCAACAAAAGTAGATGAATAAAGATAACTTTAGAAGATAGTGGTGTCTACACTTTTATTTTTACTGTTCACAGAACTCGACATGCCTCAACATCGTCTGCGTTTTGTAAAGGTGTTTCAATTGATATGATTGGAAAAACGGCAGATTGGTGAGAATGCTCTAAATGTTTTCCCCTTTTTTATAATAGACCTATTTGTACAGCAAGTGCAGGCCTTTTTGTTAATGCCACATTTGGGACATAGAATTTTTCAGAAGGTTTGTTTTCTCGGATAGCCATTTATTTTGTATTTGTACTCGAGGCTTTCATAAACTTTCTGGATTTCCTTATATAGCCGAATAAAATCGTTTTATAACAAATTTGCTGAGTTGCCTTTGAAAGTCTACGTATATTGATTTCATAGAAGAGGTGTAACATATAATTCAATGATCAAACGAACTTACCTGGTAAGTGAAGTTCGATCGTAATTATATGTTACACCTCTTCGTAGAAATCACCCATTCCCGCCCAATTTACTGTTCTGAACAGTACTAAAATGCCCTTTGGCAAATTTATTATAAACGGGCTTTAAAATAGAATGAGGTTAAGACCATAGATGGCGAATATACCGTCCATGGTAAGTTATTCCACAGTTTTTTGGCTCTGCTTTAAAGCTGTGGTGCCACCTAGCGACTAGAAGGGGGACTACGTACTTTTATATAATAGTTTCATAACAAGCATTTTGTACGGAGTAATCTTTTATTTGTTTCAATTAAAACCCATGATTTTTTTATAATATCAAATATTGAACCAAAATTTAAGAAATTAGACTGGATTAGAGTGGATATTTTAATTAAATGGGCAAAAACTGCATTTTCCGTTAAATGGTCATTGCAAAGGTAGTCAATTGACATTTAAAGGCAATGGATAAATATTTACTGACTATTTTAATCTTTTTTGATCAGGGCAAGTAAATTTTGACCTGCAATTAGTAAAACTAGTGTATGGACAATTATCTGAAACATAGGCTACATACATATATTTATTTTATATATATTATTTCTGATGTTCAGAATGTTTTGAATTATTGTTTGTTTTATTTGTGAACAGACGACTTTCAAATGTATTTTTCATTTCCACCAGAAAGTGTTTTAAACGCTACCTTAATAAACATTCATCACGGTTTGAAAGTAGATGCAGATTGAAGTAATGTGCATTCGGGTGGAGAAACAAAGGTTACAGATGGTAACCAACCACTCTGTTAATCATATAATAAAAGCAAACTTTTACAAACTAAAATCTTTGTAGCAACATGCATTTAGCGAAGAAGTTAAGCAATAACTTACTGGATCAGTGGTATTTATTATTTGCCTCAATATAATGAGCTAATTGTACAAAACGCATGTATTCGTGTTGTTTGTAATATACAAGGTAGGTTCAAAAAATACGGTGACTTTAAGTTTTATCAAAAAGTACTTATTTATCAAAATGGATGTTCAAAATAGTAACCCCCCACATACACTTGTGCCAACTTTTTTCCAATCCTCGAAGCACTTCTGGTAAGCACTTTAGCGAAAAAATTAGACACAAGCGACGATGTGGGAGCAGGTCCATTATTGTGATGCTAAATCCATGAATAACTTTTCCACAATTCAGGACGTTTCCTTCGTATTCATTTTCGCAAACGGCGCATAACTTCAAGGTATTTGTTAACCGTACGAACTTGTGGTAAGAACTCTTGATGCACTACGCCACGATAATCAAAGAAAACAGTAAGCAAAACCTTGACATTTGATCGAACTAGGTATGCTTTTTTTGGTCTTGGCAATCCTGGGTCCCTCCATTAGAAGAATTGGACTTTTATTTCAACGTCATAACCATATTCCTATGATTCGTCACCAATCATGACCATATCAGTATCATCGTCGACGTCCATCAACAGCTTTTGAGCGATGCTCCTTCGACTGCCCTTTTGTTCAAAATTAAGCACCAAATGCTACATAGAGACGTCTTCAGCCACTTCATTAGTAGTGATTCGACGATTTTTCAACACCATTTGTTTCAATTCTTAAACGAGTTCATGAGTTATTGACGTGCTGGGGCGTCCAGAGCGAGGTTCGTCATCTTCGTCTTCTCGGCCATCTTGGAACTGCTTATAAACATATTTCTTTGCTCAAAGGAGATTCATATATGCCGTTGCCAACATTTCAATTTTGCAGCACTGTATTCCATTTTATACACAAAATTTTATGCAAATTCTTTCTTCGATTTTTGTTACAGCAGAAAATCACCGAGCACACAAAACCCGTCTAACGCTTGTGTGTCACAAAAAAAGTAAACGTGCAAACTGGCTGAAACTGTGACGATCGAATGTACCCAGCCGGCCATTTACAAAAGTCGCCTTACTTTTTCAATACACCTCGTATATATCTATTCAATGCTCCTTTATAGGATAATTAACAATAATAAACCTAATTACTGAACTAATCTGTTTTCGATAACTGGCAAATAAAATGTTACCTTATCAGTCCTCTGTTGATAGTTATAAAAAATGTGTAAGAGATTAAATCAACTGATTTCGAAGGTATTTCTTAATTGTAGTTTGCTTTTTGTCTTTTTTTGGCTATCGTTTCATATTGTGAAGATGTATAACTAAAGGAATTTCTTCCGTTTTGTGTAATAGAGACTATCTACAGGGCTATTCACGGTGAGTATCCTTTTAGACGTTTATGAAGAATGATTTACGATAAAAACCTTATATTAGCTAACATCAACTACCTATGTAAAATATTTTTTTTGCCATGCCGTGTTGCCAGATATACTCGAATATCAACTTTCGGTTTTTAAATGGAATACCCTGTATATTATTACATTTTTGGATTCTGCAAAATATTCTGGGACTCTTTTATGTAACATGTACCATACCTATCTTGGACATTTTCGGAGATAAAAAAGAAGAAATTTGACGACCAACAAAATCCTATATAAAATAATAATTTTTTTCACAACCCGTACAGCTAAACACTTGAATTTTTGGTTGCGGTTCCCTATTAAATTGCTTTATCATAATATAGTATAAGAATTGACTTATCGGGTACAAGACGTTCATAAGATAAGACCCAATTGGGAAGATATAAATGTCCATGTTATGTGGGTATTTTAAATGGAACACCGCATATTTTATATTGACACGTAAATGAGCAAATAATTTGCCATCAAAAAGTACAAAACTATGGTATATCTGTTTTCTCTGCTTTCCGAGTTATAAGTAAAAAACCAAAATATTGTAATTAAAGCGTATTAAAGTAAACATATTTCATCTGAGTAGCATGAATATAAAATATGGATTTTATACCTAGAAAATTAGGCCTTATCTTATATACGCCCTATACGGGATAAGTTAATTCTCATACTATATTATGATATAGCAATTTAATAGGGAACCGCTACCAAAAATTCAAGTGTTTATCTGTACGCATTGCAAAAAAAAATATCATTTTATATCGGATTGTTAGTTGCCAAATGTCTTAGAAAGTACTTTTTATCTCCGAAAATGTTCAATGTTATATAAAAAAGTTCCAGAATATATGTATATCTGCCCAAAAATATTTTACATAGGTAGCTCACATTCGCTTATAACATGGCACCAACATTTCAGGATTTAACCGTAAGTCATTCTCCATAAAGGTCTAATAGGACACTCACCGTGAATAACTTTGTATATTCATTTCGGAGTCACTGGTACTACCGGTGATCGATCACAACGGACCTAAACTAACAACAATAAATAGGCGTAGGGGCAATATAAATTCACATCGTTTAGTCCTCCGTTGTTTGCGTAAAATATTTTCGCCGCCGATCATCAGAAAAACACGATAATCAATCACCTTATTCTCCGCGCGCGCGAGCTAGACTTCGTTTGTCACTACGCAACCCCATCTTTTATCGCAATTATCATAGATTATGGCGCGAGAGGAACCGTACAATCCGTGACTTTTTCGCATCTGTCGGCGGCCGGAGACGTAATAAATACACGGGGTGTGATACGGTAATGATGCCCGGTGTAATAAATAACGCTTTTTGACGTGCGACATCTCCATTTAATCTGTCGAAAAAGGGGTGAAAGCCGGGCGTCACAATGGCCTCCGATAATCCGACGTGTCCCCAAGTCACGTGGCCAGCTATTTATGCCACAGACGATTGTTTATTATAATATTTGCCACGTTTATGGGGTAATGTGAATCATATTTTTGATCGTCGCTCGTCCAAAGTGGAAATGTCTACAAGAGTCCCTCTAATTCTACCTATCCTTCACACAATCCAAATCAAAGATGTGTAAAATTATGAATATTCAATAAAAAAAAACTTAATAAAATCGCCGGTTGCAGTGGCCTCTACTTAGAAAACAGTCGCTGGTTAGCTGAGGGCATTATGCACCTATAGACTATTTCAGAAAGCTATTGAGTAATCAAATGGGAAACTCCGTCCAGTCCAGATAAAAAGAATTTTGTATTGAAATGAATAAACAATAAAAGTGGCCCGAAATATATAGGTAAGTATAAGGCAAAAATTTATCAATTGTAGCAACCCAACCCCCGATAGACTACACTTAATTTAAATTGCCTTTTCTTGTCCATTACCTAAATGCATACATCAAAAGTCACCGTAAGAATCAAAGATTTAAGTTTTTGGCGTCGGTGTTGTTGTGTTGGTCAAAAATTTATTATCGACAAAACATAAAATGATTCATATTGCCGCTATCTGCACAGCTACAATATCATTTAAAATAGAGATTAATTGGTTGCTTCTCTTCTACAGTGTTAACAAATACGTTTTAGCTTATAACACGGTTATATGTAAAAAAGCATACAAAATTATCAAATAAACTATAAGCGAAGAGAGAATTTATATATAAATCCAATATCAAGAAAAGAGCGTCAAAACTCACCAGCATCTTTATCCGGTAGAACGTCGACAGATTCGGAATCCGCATACATATCTCGAATGTTCAAAGGTTCCTTCGGACCAAGGATCATTTCACCACCAGGTGGAATTTTGATGATTGTCTCGTACCAGAGCTGCCAAACCGCTAATGAATGTCTACGATGTACCTTTTGCAGAAACCTTACCTGTCCGTTCACCAATAGGTGTCTCGTATTGGCGAATGACTTATTGGAAACACTTCGCACCAGTTTCAACCAGTTTTGATGTTTTAAGGATCCGTCTAGCCACCCCCGAGCTCCGGTACCGGCAAGCACCTGGAATATTGATACTCGTAATGGGTCGCACATTCAAATTGCTTCTTAATTTTCAAAAGCGAAGTAGAAATACGGCAGATAAAACGAAGGATACGAAGTTTAGACAATAAAAGGTGGTTTTTGAAATGTAATCATCTCAGCGGCCAAGCGTGTGTGTGTGATTTTGCTTCGATTATTTAAAAAAAACGCGAATGAACAGATAAGACTAAAATCACAAGATATATTTAAATTAAGGTAAACGACACGGTTTATAGATCAGCGTGTAGATAACACTCGATATACTTTCGAACATCAGATACACTTTCTATTTCATATTTTAACGCAGTATTGTCGTTTTTCATCATTTTTATGCGCCACGCCGGACTGCAAATTATACGTTAAATGTGTTTGTTATTAACGAAATCTGTCATATCCGGCAATAGAAAGACCGTTTAGTATTATTTGAGAATTATCGGTAATGATCGATTCCCATTCACATGCACAAATTATCGCACAGCGATAATCGTGGTATCTTTTCTTGTCACGGCAGATACATCTCTGCAGATAACAATTCTTTATGACTCATGAATCAGGTGGTCATATACAAGATTTTCCACTAACATTTTCTCTCATTTGTGAGTAACTTTGCAACACTTAAGATATCATCAATTGCTATTTCATTAATGATTATGATCATTAATGATTATCAGTAAAAAATAAATTAAGATTTTCTACATTAGCCCCATTTTTTTTCTAAAATTTGCGGTATATGCTTGCAATGGATATTTCAATTCTTCAGATTGTCTCTTTCGAGTGCGCCAGATATTTGGGCCGATGCGCTTTAGATTATGCGAGGAACATTAGGCGTAGCTGAAACGCCATAACCAATAGAACAATTTCAATGGTTTCAAGGGTTTTTAATATATCTCCGCTCCGCAAGACCCAACCAAGGAAATATCCGTGGTTTTCATGTGCGATAGGACGGCGCAACATGTTAGGGACATTGCTTTCAGTTATCAGAAATGAAAAACAAAGATACTATAACCAAAAAATTGATGATTGCAAGGGAAATGGAAAGAAAATGTAGCAGAGATCAAAAGGACTTGTTGGAAAGAAAAATAAAAAAGCACATTTTACCAATATTGATTTTGAACATTACAGTGACAAAGAAGAAGAAAGCATGAATAACTTTTATGCCGATAGCTTAAATGAAATAGCAGAGAGTATAGAAAAGAAGCAATGGCACTCTGTGTGTGACATGGTCAGCTGTAGCTTGTCTTGCTTTAAAAAAATAACTATATCGGAGCTTGAAAAAACTGTAAATAACTTAAAAAATAGAAGTACAAGTGACTCTATTCTAAATATTAAGCGCGTCAAGGATTTATTTTGTGTATTAGGTTATCCGTTGTTATATTTGGTAAATGCGTCTTTAAGTGCCGAAAAAATCAATGATAAACTAAAAACAAGCATCATAGTGCCCATACCTAAAGTGTCAAAACCGAAAACACGTGGTGATTTTCGACCAATTAACTCGCTGCCCGTGGTGGATAAAATCCTGGAAACGATAGTGTGTGGGCAGTTGAGAGACTACCTGGAACGGAACTGCCTACTCTACAGTGGACAGTCTGGTTTCAGGAGCAAACACTCGTGCGAATCTGCGTTGCAATATATGTGTGCAGTGTGGCGGAAAGACATGAATGAATCAAAACAAATTCTGAGTGTTTTTGTAGATTTCAAACGTGCATTTGACACTATTGACAGGGACATTCTTATTACAAAATTAGGTTTATATGGCATTAAAGACTCTGCACTAGAATGGATAAAGAACTTTTTATCTGATAGATCTCCTCAGACTAAAATTAATAATAATGTTTCTAGTCATAGGGATAGCAGATGGGGGGTACCGCAGGGAAGCGTGTTGGGCCCGCTATTATTTATTATTTATATAAATGATATGCATCAGGTTTTAAAAAACTCCTTTGTCAACTTATTTGCTGATGATACGCTTATTTCAGTCTCTGGAAACGATTGCAAAGAAATAGCTACCAAACTGAACACCGAAATGCACTATTTCTACGAATGGCTGTGTCAAAATAAACTGAAATTAAATAGCTCCAAAACCAAGTGCATGGTTATCGGTTCTAAGGTTAACTGTCAAAAATTTTATAAGTCGGGGTATTCGGTGGATATACAGGGTAATAAAATTGAGTTTGCTTCCGAAATGAAATATTTAGGGGTGATCTTGGATCCACAATTATGCTCTAGTAATCATTTTGAATATCTATGCAAAAAAATTGGTAAGGGTTTTTTAACCGTGTATCGCGGTTTTTGTCGCAGTGGACTAGGATATTAGTGTATAATAGTATAATTTTGCCTCATTTTTCATATGTTTGTTCATTGCTTATAGCTTGTACAAAAGAAGATTTAAATAAGTTACAGTTACAACAAAATAGGGTCATGAGAATCATCCTGAACTGTGATAGATGTAGTCCTATAAAGAGTGCGTTAGACCAGCTAAATTGGCTAAATGTCGGGCAGTTCATTAGAAGAGCAAGTTTAATATTGGTTTATGGAATTGCGCACGATCACCAACCAGGCTATCTTAAATAATGGTTGGAAAAAAGGTCAAACTTTTATCAATATAATATACGTTCCAGTCAGCACTTCAATGTTTCTATGGTAAAAACAACAAATTTACAGAAAACTCTATTCTACGATGGTGTTTATAATTTTAATGAACTGCCGGATAATATTAAGGGCGTGCCTTGCTCAAGAGTGTTCAAGAAGAGACTTACGGGGTATTTGCGAAGTTTATAGTTTTGTTTATGTAAATTTTACTTGCTTATGTAAATAGCCTAGTGCTAAATAAATATTATTACTTACTTATTACTTACTTACTTACTAATCTAATTCTACAATACTTGATGTATCAATACTAGATTTGGTATAAATAAATGGACTACTAGAGTTTTCGCACAGTTTTCACTTTTCGATGACTTCCAGTTTTAATTTTTTAAAACGAGACACACGAGACAAAATTCCATTTGAGATTACAGCATTTCATGCATATGCGGCAAAGAATACATTGGAGAGACCGGACGAAAAATGTCAACTAGGCTCAAAGAACAAGAAAGAGCCTTGAGACTAAGAGAAATAAACTCATCAGCTGTATTGTATTCTATAAAACTAAAATTCTTGCATGTAATTAGTTCTTGTACCAACGAAAAATCCGAGAGTCTATAGAAAACTATAAACAACCTAACAATCGTAACCGTGACTCATGTGTCTACCTGTCACCAATTTGGGAATCAGTCATCCGAGACGGTGTTTATGCTCCTCATTTAGCTCCGCCCCCCTTAACCAATATATAAGCAGGTACAGAGTAAAATACGATCTAGTTTCAGTGAAGCTCTGAAGAAGTAAACAGGATGATTGGCGAAACGTCAACAATTTCGACGCAGTAGAAATCCAGAAGTTTTATAAAAAGTGATTTTTTAACGAATTTAAAAGTATAAAGTAAGCAAGTGAAATCGGAAATGACAGAAAAGTGAAAAAAAAAAAACGAAAAACTCCCGGCTCGTTCATCTATACCAAATCTAGTTCTGATACCCCAAATACTCTAAAATGGTAAAAATCATCATCAAAAATAAGAATGTTGTAAATTGTAAAATTTAAACACCAAATCAATCTTCCCCAAACATTACGTCAGACCGTAAACTTAGTAGACCCGAACATTCCCCGAATCCGAAATGCTCCCCGCTGTTTCCCATCAGCCAAATTTGACCCTCCGACATCAATTAAACCCTCAAAGGGCGAAAACAAGAAGCATAGAGGCGTCGAGATTCCCTTTAACGGCAGAGGACAGCCCCCACGATCACCCTTAATGGTCCCGATTCTTAATCCTGCTGTCATCGTGTCCTGCCGCCAGAACACGAAAGGGAAATTCGTAGGAACTTGCGGCTTTCCGCAGCGATGAATACCGCGTCGTTATTGGCTTCGTTTTTGAATAAACGCGTCGAGGATTGTTGTCGTCAATAGGAGGGGAGCAAAATAGATGAGAAAATTTCATTGGAGAGGATTAATATTGATGGTCGAAAGGTTCATCCGACTTTTTTTTAGGTAATAATAGCATTATTGCAGCGGTTTCAGGGGCGTTATTGTAAAACTATGGTTTAATTTAATAAGGACATATAATATGATTATCAAATGAAGTAAGTTTATCTTAAATTTCAATGATAAGTGAAACTGCGTTTTTTGAAGATAGAGGTCATACCTTTAAAACTGAGAAGAGTTTCAAATTTCTGTACTGACTTTGTTTAAATCTCTTCTAAAATATTGTTTATGTTAAGTTCTTGAAAAAGATTTGCCAAGGCTGCAGCAAATGTTTAGTGATCTCAGCAACCTCCTATAACATTGTTGTCCGAGAAAATCCTCCGATTTCTTTTTAATGTGGCTTATAATGCCAACTTAAATTTGTTTAATATTTTAACATTTTAAACCTATAATATGAAAATGTTCTTTTTTTATGGTCTGTATGAGCTTATGAACATTTTGTCTCTTTTTAATGTACTTTTCTTGTTTGGAACTAAATATAGTAATATATATATGTATTATATATATATATATATATATATATATATATATATATATATATATATATATATATATATATATATATATATATATATATATATATATATATATATATATATATATATATATATATACATATACATATATATATATATATATATATATATATATATATATATATATATATATATATATATATATATATATATATATATATATATATATATATATATATATATATATATATATATATATATATATATATATATATATATATATATATATATATATATATATATATATATATATATATATATATATATATATATATATATATATATATATATATGATGACACTATATTCCGGGATATCATCCGTTCGCTCGTTGAACTCCGACTGGAATCCTGCATCCGACTGGAATCAAATC